GAAAATGGGGACGCTCAGTCCTCGGAGTATTTAGTCGGGAATATTAATTGTATTTGAAGTTCGAGCTTGAGCATCTTCGCAAACGAGATTAACGGGCACAGGTCAAGTTAGCGACAGCACGCACCATCGACCTGTCTCTTCGCTTCCCCGCCTGCAGGACAATAATGATCTATAATTTTGTAACGACACAACACCGAACGGACGTACACAGCGAGCAACGAACTACACGAGAAAGGCCATTTGAATGTATGTACTCTGCACAAGAAGAAAAGGAGGCACCACCCTGTTAATGAAGAAAGAAGAAAAAGAGAGTCGACCGGAAATAAAGAATCACTTGAGTTTTATGGATCGGGTGAAGGCGAGCGAGGGATCCCACGCTCAATCCGCGCCGCCGCCGCGAGCACGGAGCCCCCAGGTAACAGCACCGGCGATGCGCGCCCGGACAGAACCTCGTCGTCCGCGCTCTCGCTGTCCCCGTCTGCATCTCCCCGTCGCCGGCTCCGCCCAAAGTCAAGCGAGCCCCCGCCGTTCACTCGCCCGTGCATCAACGGCCGCCCCACACCCATGCTGCTCCCGATCCCGATCCCGATCCCACTGGCACCCCCGCCGCTGCCCGCGGCACGCACCATCGCGGGGTGCACGATGCTCCCCGACCGCTTACGCAGCTCCGTCTGCGGGAACTGCAGCTGCGCATGCGACGCGCGGCGCGCGAGCGCCGGGATGCGCGTCGGCACAGGCGACGGCGGGCTCGGGTGCAGCTGGAGCGGATGCCGCTCCCTGTCCCTCTCCTGATGCTGCTTGAGCACAGGCGACGACGGGGCATGGCGCAGCCCGCGCTGCGGCGTCGGCGCGCGGCTCATCAGCGCGGGCGACGGCGGGCTCGGGGTCTGATGCGCATGCCCCTGGCGATGGCGCGGCGGCTTGAGGACGGGCGAGGACGGGACATGGCGCAGCGCGTGGGTGTGCGTGGTGGGCGAGTGGTGCGGATGGGGCGAAGGGGCGGGGCCTTGCGTCAAGTGCGCGTACGAGGAGCGGCGGCTGAGCGGATGGGGCGGAGACATGGGCGACGGCGGCGGCGCCTGGCGGACGGCTGGCACGGGCACCACGGGCTGTGCCTGCGCTCTGAAAAGTGGCGCCTGGGACATCCGGCGCGCAATGGGCGACGACCCCTGCTGCTGCTGTTGCGGAACCTGCTGCGGGCGGGGGGACGTGATCGGGCGGTGGTACAAACTCGGCGAGGGCGACGACGGCGGGGGGATGACAGACAGCGGCGACGGCTTCTTCTTCCGCGCGGGCGGCGCCGTCAGCACCGCCGCCTGCTTCAGCGGCCCTGGCACCGGCAGAGGCGCACGCAACCCAGCTCCAAACGGCCGCCGCGCGACGCCGCCAAAACGCGCGCGCGCCTCCGCGACGGAGGGCAGGTCGACGCGCGAGCCGAAGGTCGGCGTCCCACAGCGGCTGCTCGCGCGCTCCACCATCCCCATCTCCATCTCCCTTTCCCGCTGCATCTCCATCTCCATCGCTCCGCCCTCCGCGCCCCCCACCCCCGCACCTGCACCAGCGGACGGGACATCAAAGAACGCGGAGCCGCTCCCCGCGCGCGCGCGGCGCTGCGGGGGCACAGGCACGGGCACGGGCTCGGCGACGATATGCCCAAAGAGCGACCCCGGCGCCTTGGTGACGCGCACGACCTTCCACCCCGCCGACGCCGCGAGCGCGACCGTCTCGCGCAGCGTGCGCTCCTGCCCGTTGAACGTCACTTGCATCTGCGGGCGGCGGAGCGTCAGCCGTCCGTCCGAATCGCCAGTATGAGTGAGAGGAGGGAGGGAAACGTACCGTGAGATCCATCCAATACGCATTCGCGCTGGCCTTGCCGAGGTTCGCGAGCAGCGGCGCGGGCGCGAGCATCTTCTCCGCGCCCTCCACCAGCGGCTCCTTCTCCTTCCCCGCCTTCCCATCCTTCTCTTCCCCACCCTCCCCCCCACCACCCACCCCAAAATCATCCACACACGCGAGCGGCAGTACCCAATCCGCGAGCACAAGCCGCGTGCGCGGCGCGGCCGCCTCGCGCAGCCGGAGGAGGATGCGCTGCGCGAACGCGTCGGGCCAGTCGTGCAGCACCACGCGGAGGAGGAAGACCGCGGCGTCCGTGATCGGCTGGGGCGTGAAGAAGTCGTGGACTGCGGAGGGGGGAGCGCGTTAGCAAGAAGAAACGCGAGCGTTCGAAGAGGAATAACGAAGAACGCATCCCCACTCACCCTGAAACCTCACCGCCCCCGAATCCAGCAGCTCAGGACACTTGTCGCGCCACGCCTTCTCCCCCATCTCCACCACCACCGCCCGGTCCTGGATCACGAAGCGCAGACCTGTGCGGGGGTTAGCGTTGGCGTCTGGGTGCGTGCGTGGAGGAGAAAGCGATAACGGCGTAGCAAGGAAACGAAGGAAAAGTAAAAGTAGAGGGGAAAGTAAAAGTAACAGAAAGGAAGAAACAAGAAGACCCACCCTCCTCCGCAAACGCACTCGCCAGCAACATACTCGTCGACCCGATCCCGCCCCCCACGTCCACCACCACGCTCCCCCGCGGCAGCGCGCCCCAGTCGAAGCCTGTGTGTCAGAAGGAGCATTAGTCAAGTTTTATTTATTTACGCAAGAAAATCGGAAGGGAAAAGTCGGGAAATCTTTAAAACCCCCAAACCAGAACGCACCATGCAACACCGCCCCCGGCGCCTCCCAGCTCCCCGTCCCCGCCATCGCGCGCCCAAAGCGCTCCAGGCGGAAACGATTCGGGTTATCTTGATCCTTGTCCGTGTCCGTGTTCGTGTCCTTAGCCGTCTTCGTGTCCGTGTCCGTATCCGTGCCCACATCCGTCTTGGTCTTCGTCTCCTGCTTCCCCTCCTCAGATGTAGGAGGCGAATCACCCCCCGCACGAGCCGCAGCCGCCCACCCCTCCCCCTCCAACCACGCGAAATAGCCCACCCCGCCGCACCCGAACGCATGGTTGAACGGCGCGCGCGTCGGGTCGGCTAGCGCGTTCCCGTTCCCGTTCCCTTGCCCACCTGTGTTCCCGTTTCCGTGCCCGCTGATCTTGCCGCCCAGCGCAGTCGACGCGGGCGTTGACGTCGCCGGAGTCGAAGACGCCTGGATCGAAATAGAGGGCGAAGACGAAGAAGACGAAGAAGACCCCGCGGCCAACCCCACCGTCGGACACGCAGGGAACACCGCCTCGGTCAGGTACGCGCTCGATTTGTGCAGCTCGTCCGTGCTGTGTGCGGGGGCGTTAGCTTTAGCGGGAGCGGTAGCGGCAGCGGTAGCGGTAGTAAGTTGGGGTTTAAAATGAAGATGAAAGTTTAGGGAGCGCGTAGTTCAAGCGCGCATAGCATACGAGCGAGGCGGAATAGGTATAGCGATACGCGTGAATGCGCGTCGATCCACATCTTGCGCGTGTAGGCGCGTGTATGCGCGTCGATCCCCGCCTGAACGCTTATAGCACCCAAATCTCCCGCCGGGACGCGTTCACGTCTCCAAAAAAATCCCCCCTCCCCCCTCAAAACAACCCTCCAAAAAAGGAGAAAACAAAAAAAAAAAAAAAAAAAAAAAATTCAAGAGGAGAGAAACTCGACTCACCAAAGCCCGACAAACGCGGCGACCGCGCCGCCGTCGGCGGCGTATTTGCTTATTGGGCTACACGTTAGGAAGAAAAGGGAGTCAGCATGGGGTGGTTTGGAATTTAGGAAACAGGGAATAGGAATATCAGAAAAGGAGGGATGGGGAGTAAGGGTGATGAGGTGAAGGTAAATCGGCACCGACGTCCTCGCGCGAAGCTCGACGCGGCGTGAAGCCATCCCGATTCAGGAGCCGCGAAGGCAGGGCGACAGGTACACAGACGCGTAAAGGAAGAGTGGGCTTCGGCGGCGTAATCGAAGCCGAGGAACGAAGGAAGGAAGGAAGTGCGGGTGCGAGAAGGGGAAGGAGGAAAGGGAAGCAGGTGATTGTGGCGGGGATGGGGGCCGCGGGAGCGAGTGGGGGGTGGATTGGGAGCGCGGATGCGAGGGAGGGAAAAGGCGAAAGAAAGAGAATAGCACCCACTCCCTGCGCAGCTCCTCGAGCGGCCTGCCCGTATCCATCAACGAGCTCACGCGATTCAGCGCAAACACATCCGGGGCAACCTCGCGCACGACATGGTGCGTCGCGAGCAGGCGCAGCACATGCGCGAGGGTCTTCTCGCCGACGCCGATGCGCGTGCCGAGGAGCGCGACGTGGAGGGGCCCCGCGTGGAGGGCCTCGGCGACGTGGGCGGCCTCGAAGAGGCGGAGGCAGGAGGGGAGGTGGTAGCCCATCGCTGCGTCGCAGAGGGCGAGGAACGGCGGCTGGAGGGCGGCGGCGAGGTGGGCGCAGGCGGCGAGGGCGCGGTTGGTGGCGGCGACGACGGCGGGGTGCGTCGTGAGCTGCTCGGCGGGGGTGTGCGGCGCGTAGGGGGCGTCGAGGGCGGGGAAGTCGAGCGGCGTCGGCGGGACGTGGGCGTCGGCGGGGAAGGGCGGGGACGACGGCGAGGGCGGCGGGGAGGCGTAGTACGCTGGGTGCTCGTTGTCGTTGGCGGCGGCGTAGACGGCCTCGATGTCGTCGAGGGCGTCCCCGAGGATGCCCTGCAGCGCCCGCAGCGTACCAAAAGTCATCGAACCAGGACGAGGGTGCAAAGAAAGAAATATTTATACCAATCGAGTCCTGTCAATCGATCTGACGCGTCTTCTTGGTGGGCGCGAATAGCCTTGTACGCGTCCATGTCGCGTACTTACAAGTAGAGCAAGCACACTTACGGCAACCCCTTGTGGCGCCACCGTCAAGCAGTGCCACCGGCGACTCCCGAGCCCCGATTCCGACGCCCTCGTCGTCTCTCTTATTCGTTCCCGGGGAGTTTGCGTGCGTCGAGTCAGTCCGTTGTATTGAACAGCAAAATGAAGTGCAATAAAGGTTTTTTAAAAAAAACAGCTAAGACCAGTGAATGGCCTGGGTCTGAATCAAACAGACACCTTCTGCTGAGAATCTGCACCCCGCAGTACATGAAGCAGATGTGGACCATCCACCACCAGGCCTTGCCTAGGTCCAACTCAGCTTGGAATAACACTCAAAAGTCAATCATTGTCTTGCTCAATTTTAGTCTTACTTGATCTTGACAACTCCTGTTTTCCGACTCGACAATTTGACAATTCACGACCACATGTTTAGTCGCAATTGCTGGCCCATACTACGTACCGGGATCATAAGTGTCGAAGAAAATTGGGGGGAAAAAAAACATCACCACTCCATGGCTTGGGCCCGAATCGAACAGACTCCTCCTGCTACACTGAGGCACCTTCGGTACAGAAAGCAAGTGTGGACCATCCACCACCAAGCCCTTCCAACATACCCTCAGATTCTGATCCGTAGTACACTTTTTTATGCGGACATGGTTGAGTATAAAAAAAATCACTTCGAACTTTTCTATGGCTCAGGCCTGACTCGAACAGGCATCTCCCGCTGGTACGTGGTAGATTTACACAAGAAGCAGGTGTGGACCATCCACCACTGAGCCTCCTTTATCCTGATCCACTATTCAATTTATTCTACAGATTTCAGAGCAGGTTACACTTGGGTTACACAAGTAAAATGAAACCATATCTCCAAAACTTAGATTTTTGTGTGGTCATCCCAAGATTCAACCCAGCTCATTTCAGCACATTTTTGTGAAGGGTCAATGAAAATAGACTGTTGAACGAAGTGGGAAGAAAACCCGATTTCTGCGGGCCAAACAAAATGGCTTGGGCCTGAATTGAACAAGCTCCTCCTGCAAAGTACAATACAGAGACCACCTCATGCAAAGCAGGTGTGGACCATCCACCACTGAGCCTTTCTATTCTATTCCACAATTCACAGTACCTATACAAGAATCAAGCACAGTGTTTCCAAAACACAGCAGCCGCCCCGGTGCTGATAAAAGCTGTGCGGTATTGAATCAATCACTAAGGTCGGATTCCGCCAGAGCAAAGAAAAGAAAAGATGAAAAAAAAATCCGGAAGGTACATATGAATGGCTTGGGCCTGAATCGAACAGGCTTCTCCTGCTAAACACATGCCGTTCGACTTTCATGTATACATAGCAAGTGTGGACCATCCACCACCAAGCTTTCCTAGTCCTAAAGAATACCACAATTCACAGTACTTACACTAGGTTCAAACATGATGTTTCCACAGCAGCCGACACAGCCCAGGTACCAATAAAAACTGTGTGGTACTGACTAGTGTTGCCGGGGTCGGGTTCAGAACCGATTCCGAACCTGAACCGAACCCGGACCGAACCTGAATTGGGGTTCGGACAGCCATCAAGAACCGGACCGAACCTCAGGTCCAGTTCGGGGTTCGCATTTTTCGAAGTTTCCCCGAACCTGAACGAACCTGACCGGACCCGCTGGAAAATTAGGTGTGTGTTAGTGATTTTACAAGATTATTCAACTATAACTTCGCTCAAACTGCAGCTTACAGTGACCTAGAACAGGCAGAAGCATTCCATCTCCCTCAGAACACTCAAAATTATGACCATCCTCCGAGTTCAGAGGTCCAGTGAGGCCATTGAAAAATATAGTTTATTCCTTTGGAGGTACCTACACACTGCTGAGTCCCAAACTGTGATCTGGGTATCATAAAACTGATTCTTATGTCCTACAGTGGATGAATATGTCGTCAAGTTCACATTTTGTGCATGAGAACTTTTTTCAGGTTCGAACCTGATCTGAACCCCAAATGAACCGAACCCATGTCCAGTCCGAGGTTCGAGGGATCTGGGAGAACCGGACCCCAGGTCCGGTTCGGGGTTCGGGGTTCGGATTTTTTTGGCAAAAAACCGGACCTAACCGGACATCGGCAACACTAGTACTGACTCGGAGTTAAACACCAAGGAGTGATTCCGCCAAAGCAAAAGAAAGAAAGAAAAAATTGGAGAGGACGAGAAAAATAGTGGCTTGGGCCTGAATCGAACAGGCTCCTCCTGCTGTGTGCACCCATTCTTTATTATACAAAGCAGGTGTAGACCATCCACCACCAAGCCTTCCAAAACTACCCTCGGACTCTGATTTGCAGTGCTTTTTGGAGAGGATTAATATTGTGGTGAGAATAAAAAGGATTTACACTCACCCATATGTGGCTCAGGCCTGATTCGAACAGGCTTCCCCCACTGGGCAATTACAAATCAGATATTAGAAGCAGGTGTGGACCATCCACCACTGAGCCTTCCTTATCCAAACCAACACTTCAATTTATTCTCAAAAAGTAAAAAGGTAGGGCGAGGCATGTAAAATGAAATCATCTCTCTCTCCAAAGTTCAAATTCAGTGTGATCATCCCAAAATTCAACATAACTCATTTCAGCAACATTTTCCGTGAAGGATTAATGAAAATAGACTGTTGAACGAAGTGGGAAAAAAAACGGATTTCTGCAGCACAAACAAAATGGCTTGGGCCTGAATCGAACAGACTCCTCCCGCAAGTACAATACAGAGACCACCTCATGCAAAGCAGGTGTGGACCATCCACCACCAAGCCTTCCAAAACTACCCTCGGACTCTGATTTGCAGTGCTTTTTGGAGAGGATTAATATTGTGGTGAGAGTAAAAAGGATTTACACTCACCCATATATGGCTCAGGCCTGATTCGAACAGGCTTCTTCTCCCACTGGTATGTGGAAGAATCTTCACAAGAAGCAGGTGTGGACCATCCACCACTGAGCCTCTCCTGTCCTGATCCACTATTCAATTTATTCTAGGTATTTCAAAACAGGTTACATTCTGGTAATAAAATCACCTCGCTCTTCAAAGCTCAGATTTTTCTAGGGATCACCCTAACATGCAATCCAGTAACATTTCTTGCGAGTTGAGGAAATATGAGCCAAAAAAAATGCCACGCTTGAACCATCATGCTTGAACCATGGCTCAGGCCTGAATCAAACAGGCTTCTCCTGCCAAATGCAAGTTTTGTAAGGAATACATAGCAGGTGTGGACCATCCACCAAGCCTTTCCCAGTTGTACTCAGATTCCAATTTGTAGTACATTTTTTTTACGTGGACATGGTTGAGAATAAAAAAAAATGACCCCACTACATATCAATGGCTCAGGCCTGATTCGAACAGGCTTCTCCCACTAGCATCTCAGAGAAGCTTATACAAGAAGCAGGTGGGGACCATCCACCACTAAGCCTTCCTCGTTCTGGCCAACACTTCAATTTTATAAGGGGTTTGGGGTTATCTTAGGATGCACCAAAGCTAAACTGGTCCAGGTTCTAATATATTAGAGCAGGATGCAGCGTAGGATGTGGGTGGGTAAAAGATACCGCCCACATGACTACGAGCAAGTTTATATACTTGTACAAATGAGTGATTGCTAAAGTGGTGTAATGATAGTATAGTGCGGTGACAGCACCGCTGAGACGGGGGCTCTCGAAGTACGGCGGGAAAATATGCTATCTAGCCGCTAAATGCAAATGGACAAATGAACTATCCACTATACACTAACAACCAAATCACACTACAACCAATCACTCCTCTTGTATTGAGAGCTTTGAGTCGGGTAGTTCGGGGTTTGAATCAACGGTTTGTTGACCCTATAGCTAGTCTGTACTCGTAGGGGTACTTGCTAAGATCTCTACTCAATTAAGGTGTCTTATTTGAGTAAGGTTCTTGGATATTGTCTGGGTAGTTCTGGTCTTATTTCAAGACTAATGCGGTACAATGTACGATGTTTTAAGAGTTTAATGACACAAGGTCGGGTTTGGGTGTCTAATAGACGGGTTTGTGGTTATACACCAAGGTTTTGGATGGCTTTCGGCCTTAAAAGAGCTTTCGGCCTTAAAAGAGCTTTCGGCTCAGTACAGATGTTCGGCTTTCAGCCTTAAGAGAGCTTTCGACTCAATATGATTCAACGAGACTGGTTCTGACGGCTTTCGGCCTTAAAAGAGCTTTCGGCTCAGTACTGATGTCGGCTTTCGGCCTTATTCAAAGGGTTTTCGACCCAGTTCTCGAGGTTTCTTATATTTTTAAGGTCTGATCCAAATCCAAATCTATTTCTGGTGCTAGGTGTCTGTGGGCTAGGCCCAAGCTAATCAAATCTAGTGGAACAAACAAGGACAACCAACTCTGGTGCCTGCCTCCAAGGGATATGCGCTCCCGTTCCTGCCCTTTCTGCCCCTTATTTATACTACTCTCAACCTGCTTACACTACTTGGTTTACGCTACCTGCTCTCTAATATGACTCGTACTGCTCCCTTGTCTCCGACGGCGTTCCTCGTTCTTGATTGGCCAGTAAAGGCGTGCTCTGACAGCTGCACACGGTCGTTGGTTTGATCCATCAAAGAGCTCTTCTTGGCAACTGATGCCTTGCTCGAGTAAGGTCTTCTTCGTCTGTGGCTCTATGTCCCGAGCTCGGAAGGGTCTTCTTCGTCTAGCCTGCCATCGTAGCTTCAATACGGTACCCCATAGTCATAGGTTAGCTCAACCCGTCTATCCATGGTTCGATTAGGAACCTAGGATGCCTTATCCGATTTAAGGATTATCGCGATCTCTATAGTGATGCTGGTTGCCTAGATCCGGAATTGCCGGTTCTATTCTTGGATGCTATCCGTCTTGGCAGTATCTGCCTTCTCTCAGTAGCCATTCCCATCATGTGGCCTGAACGCGCTAGTCCCTTGTGTCAAACACGGACAATCTTAGTCTAGTCAATCTTTTATGAAGGACTTGGTTCCGCCACTGTGCAAATATGATAGTTTCCTTCCCATCTCCTTGGTAAGTGTCCCAGCAAGCAGCCTTAGGCTTTATATAACCTAGTTTCTCTGCCACGATAGTCTAGTTCCTTACTCGAGTAAGACATATATTGGCCCCATTTGTGGAGGTACCGCTATAGATCCTCCCGGTTCATTCCCTAATGCTATTAGACTTGTTAGGCTACTCGTTTGGAGCTCCCGAAAGCCTCTTAGGTATGTAGCACATATGCTTGACAGCTGGAAATGCGTAAAATGCGCAAATTCAGGTGTACTTGATTACACGGCTTATCACCGCACTCATCAGAATGCAATGGATGGGGCGCATAGCGCCTCCGGCGCCTAACAAATTTATTCTATGGATTTCAAAACAGGTTATGGTAATAAAGCCATCTCACTCTAAATCTCCAAAATTCAGATTTTTAGGGGTCATCCCCAAATTCAACCCAGCTCATTTCAGCACATTTTCATGAAGGGTTGATGAAAATAGACCATTGAATGAAGTGGGGAAAAAAAACTGATTTCTGCAGCACAAACAAAATGACTTGGGCCTGAATCGAGCAGGCTTCTCCTGCTGAACACACTCTGTTTGCATTCGACCAATAGCAAGCAGGTATGGACCATCCACCACCAAGCCTTTCCCACTGTACTCAGATTCCAATTTGTAGTACACTTTTTATGTGGACATGGTTGAGAATTTAAAAAAACCTCCTAAACCTCTTCAATGGCTCAGGCCTGATTCAAACAGGCTTCTCCGGCTGGTACATGGTAGATTCACACAAGAAGCAGGTGTGGGATCATCCACTACTGAGCCTTCCTTATCTCAACCAACACTTCAATTTATTCTACAGATTTCAAAGCAGGTTACATTATAGTAATAAAACCATTCTCGCTCCTCAAAGCTCAGATTTTCGAAGAATTATCCCAAATGCAACCTAAGCTCGTTTCCGGCACATTTTCTTACGAGTTGTAGTGATAAGAGCCAAAAAAAAAACCAACCTGCTATTATTTCTACCTATGGCTCAGGCCTGATTCGAACAGGCATCTCCTGCTGGTACATGGAGAAAACTTGACAAGAAGCAGGTGTGGACCATCCACCACTGAGCCTTGCTAATTTATCCTCAGATTCTGATTTGTAGCACTCTTCGGAGAGGATCATGGTGAGAATAAAAATATTTACCCTGGTCCATAATATGGCTTGGGCCTGATTCAAACAGGCTTCCCCTGCTGGGTAATAGCAGATTGTACACCAGAAGCAGGTGTGGACCATCCACCACTGAGCCTCTCCTGTCCTGATCCACTATTCAATTTATTCTATAGATTTCAAAACAGGTTACATTATGCTAATAAAACCATCTCACTCTTCAAAGCTCAGATTTTCGAAGAATTATTTCAAATGCAACCTAAGCTCGTTTCCGGAACATTTTCTTATGAGTTGAGGAAATATAAGCCAAAAAAATTATCTTTCTACCTATGGCTCAGGCCTGATTTAAACAGGCTGCTCCCACCGGCACGGGGTATATTCTGCACAAGAAGCAGGTGTGGACAGGACCTGTGATCATCCTAATTAGTAAGAGGTCGGATACCGAGTTCGGACAAAATTTCCAGAAAATTTTGACCAGAAAAAAAAAACAAAAAGAATGCCCTTGTCGAAATAATTGTTTTGGCCGACTTGAAAAGCGTGGGAAAGAAAAAAACTTCGGACAAAACTCAACTTTGGGCCCGATTTCGGTATCCAACCTCTGTTGGGATAATCACAGGCTAAAAAATACCTTGATTCACAGTACTTATGCTGGATCCAGACAGGGTGTTTCCAAAACACACCAGCCGATACAACCCAGTTGCTAATAAAAACTGTGTGGTACTGAGCTAAACACCGAGGAGGGATTTCACCAAAGGAAAGCAAAGGAAATAAATAAATAAAGGGGGTGAGAGAAATAGTGGCTTGGGCCTGAATCAAACAGGCTCCTCCTGCTGTGTACAGGTTATTCTCAAATATACAAACTTTTAGGAGGAGAAGGCTGTTCGAATCGGGCCTGAGCCATTGAATATGGACGAGGGCAAATATCTTTTATTCTCACCATGATCCTCTCAAAAGAGTGCTACCAATCAGAATTTGAGGATATGTTGGAAGGGCTTGGTGGTGGATGGTCCACACCTGCTTCTGGTATATGACACTGGGGGCAAACACCATGACCGTGGGTTCATGGCGTAGGACTGACACTTGCCATGGCATTTGCCAGGCATTTGCCCCATTTTCTTTGTCCTATTTTTAATTATGATTGTTCCTTTGATGTAGACCAACTCTTCGTCTCGGCCTTTGTACAGTAACATTTGAGGTCGGTAAATACTTCCAGTCTTGCGCACGCAGCTGGGGGTGCTACCTGGTCTAGCAGGCTGCAGAATGATGCTCACCCTGAGTTGACCTTGAGTCAAAAAAAAAATCTGGGCCTGGGGAAAAAAACCACAGCCAGGCAGATTTGTGACGGATGAGAAATAATGTATCAGGGCAACCAGTAGAACGCAATCTATGCAACAAGGAAAATGTCTATCGGGGTACAAGTATTGAGATATTAAATGCGGTGGATGATTGACATTTGTCGCCTGGCAGCTCAACTAAAATAGAACAAAGAGAATTGCAGTGCAAAAGGCAAATGCCTGGCAAATGCCATGGCAAGTGTCAGTCCTCGGCCATGAACCCACGGTCACGGCACTTGCCCCCAGTGTGATTTGCTATTGCCCAGCTGGAGAAGCTGTTTGAATCGGGCCTGAGCTATTAAAAAGGTTTGGGGTGATCTTTTTTGTTCTCAACCATGTCCACATGAAAAAAAAGTGTACTACAAATTAGAATCTGAGCATAAGTGGGAAAGGCTTGGTGGTGGATGGTCCACACCTGCTTCAAGTATTCCCTCTGACGTATACATAGCAGGTGTGGACCATCCACCACTGAGCCTTCCTTATCCCAACCGACACTTCTTCTAGAGACTTCAAAACAGCCTGTTACATTATGGCAAGGCATGTAAGATGAAACCACTCAGGTTTTAGAAGAATTGTCCCAAAATTCAACCCAACTCATTTCAACAGCATTTTCTTGTGGGTTGAGGAAATATGAGCTAAAAAAATGCAATAGTCCAGCTGATTGCCAGCGAAACGAGCAATTATCCGCTAAAGGGCAACAAAATGCGGAAACCAAGGACAAATTCTGCACGTACCCGAGAACATCGGAATTCAAGGATCACCCCAAAACTCACTCAAAAAGCCGATTTGGTGAGTAAACTTGGGAATATGAATGTTGTCATTTATATCTACCTTAATATTCAAGATGGGAGGTGCTCCCCACTTTTGAGAGTGTTTTCATTCTCGAGGGATGCCACCATGTGTCACGGGTTTCCGTCTTCAGAGCAAGCACCTGGCACCGTTGCAGATGTATTTTATGGCTCAAGGC